GGGGGGGGGGGGTGTAAGTGTGTTACAAACATTTCTGTTTGCAGTTTTAATTTGCAGCCAGCGTGACTTCAGTTTTTAGTATTAGGGGAGAGGTTGGCCAAAGAGAGGCTGAAATCCTTTCGTGTAGCGATGAGACCGGCAAACGTGTCAGAAGCAAACGGCCTTTCATTAGGAAATCACGGTAGACATTATCCGTTGCGCGCCGAGTGATTCCGAAGAGAGCCGCATGGGGAGATTCTCCTTTTCTTCCAGATGTTGCAGAGAACCAGAAGATTATACCCTCGATGTCCAGGGAAAAGTTTGACAGTCATTTTAAAAAATCCCATGACAGGAGACGTAACAACTCAGTCCATGTTTTCAGTGTCAGACAGAGAAGGGGACGAACCGCTGGTTCGTGTACCAGCCGAACAGATGTTTGGCGCTTCCCATCGCTGCCTCTTTCCAGCGGGCACCTGCTCAGATTTTGATGTCCTGACCACTTCTTCCCATCTTCTGTATTTGCCGTGCTCAGAAAGAATTTGGATGCAAGCCCTTGTGAATGTACAACCCATAATCGGCCTCTCTGGACAAAAGGCCCTCACCCTTTCTCCCGTGGGAGAAATATCTATAATGCAAGGAAAGGGGGTGTTCAGTACAGTGTGTGTGAAACTGGAACATAATTCTATTAAAACCTGGATAACTTACTTTGCAGTAGTGTGTGTGTGCAGTTTGTTGTTGTTTTTGAAGTGGCAAAGTTCTTAGAAAGCAAAGTTTATTTAACTCACTGTTCAAGTACAGTGGACCCTTTTTGTCTGCGGGATCGGTATCTGCTGATTGACTTACCCATGATCTGAAAACATTAAAAGAAAAGTCCTAGAAATATATATTTCTACACTGTCTTTACCAGAACCGGTGACTCAAGGGAGTCAGCGACCATTCTGTGTGTAGCATTATAACCCGTGTTTTTCAGAATCTGCAGGGCGACTTGGAATCGTCCCCCCCCACACATTCAGGGGCCCTGCTGTAATTCATTTGCTATTGTTTCCTTTTGGCTCGTTTTCTTTAAACTGAGGATTCACCAGGGTGTGATGCTTGGAAAAATGTGTAAGGAAAGAGAAAAAGGTTTCCATCAAAAAAGGTAACATGCTTATACATATGTTACTTTTGAAATGCAACTTGATTATGCCTTTGGAAATTTGATCCTTTCGTTTGAATTAAATGGTAACGACACAGAATATGCAAAAGCCAAACACGAGAGATCTTGTTCCTTGCCTTTTTTTTGAGTCCTGACTCCCTTTGAAAAGATTTATACCCCACTTGCTTTCTCAAGGGGAGGTAAAGTGGCTTACAACATTTGCAAAGTGCACACATGCGTGCGCATACACACACACACACACAAGCACGCACGCACGCGTGTATTCCACAAGGCTGTGATCCCGTGTCCCCCTTTAAGCCCCAAAGTCCAGCCAGCACAAAGGGTGGCAAAGGCTTCTGGGAGCTGTAGTCCAAGAACACCTGGGGGATCCCAGGCAGGGAGCCCCTGATTGGCCCCAGGAGACTCCCTCCTTGGGTTGGTTCACGACGATGACCCTCCAAACCCTGGCCTGGAGGACCATCTGAACCCTGATCCTTCCAGAGCGGTGTTTCCCAGTCTGGAGAATCCCTGGTGTTCTTGGACTACGACTCCCAGGAGCCTTTGCCACTCTGTTGTGCTGGCCAGGATTTCTGGGAGCGGTAGTCCAGGAACGCCTGAGGTCGCCCTGCCGCGGGGAAGCCCTTCTCGTGCGCCTGCGCGGAACCGTGAGAGAGCGAGAGAAGCTCCGCCCTCCCCGCGCCCGCAGCCCCGCCCCGCCCTCCCCGGCGCCCCTTTCCCAAAATGGCGGCGCCGGAAGCGGCCT